GGACTCCCTCCTATGGTCATTGCAGTCCTTTGTCGCGTAGTCGAGAACCAGCTTATGCGCTGCATTATGCTACACCCTAAACCCTAAACCCTAAACCCTAAACCCTATACCCTAAACCCATGCATGTTGAAGAACCTGCATCTTGAAACCGCAACGCCGAACTCCGAGCCGAGCGACGCAGACGGTTCAGGCAGGATAATGCCGAAGTACAGTAGTGTGCCCTGACTGCTCCAGGTCACAGTGATTCTTAGCGATTGCGCACATTCACGGACAAACGCTTTTCTGGCTACCTTCGAGGGAGGAAGTTGCAAGAGAAAGGTCGTGTGATTCGTTTTGGTTTCGATGCAGAGCTGTGAACACCAGTCGACCGTCAACCGGTGCCATGAAGCACCTGTGCGCTACTCCCGAACCCTAAACCCTAAACCCTAAACCCTAAACCCTAAACCCTAAACCCTAAACCCTAAGCCCTAAACCCTAAACCCTAAACCCTAAACCTTACTTATTTACCCTGCGGGGTGGAAGGCCTCTAAGGCGGTTCCTGGACGAGGTAGACAGGTCATGGGTGCAACTGCGTCGTACTTTGAACTTCCGGGCTTTCGATAAGGGGTCTCTTCAGCTGCATGCCATGCCTTGCTCTGTCGGTGCTGCTTTCTGGTAGGAGAAGCGACTTCCTCTTCGAAGATTTCTTCATGTTTCACCCACTCCTTGCCCTAACTTTGGAGTAACCCAAAGTCTGGGGCCAAACCTCGCAGGCCATGGCGTCGTACCCTGAAGGCCATAAGTTCGCACAGCCGACTTCCGTAACATTCCGCAAGCCAAGAGCCCCTGAAGCCCTCGAAGCTTAATATCCCGTACCCCTGAGCCCCTAAACGGTATGGCTCAACGGCTCAGGAATCCGTTGCACCCCAGAGTCTACTTCGGTGTCAGACAGCATGAGTTTCATCGGCAGACCGAAGAGGCCTGAGGAGGAGTAGGAGCAGGAGCACGTAGTAGTAGTAGTAGTAGTAGTAGTAGTTGTTGTTGTTGTTGTTGTAGTAGGAGTAGCAGTAGTAGTAGTCGTTGTGGTGGTGGTGGTGGTGGTAGTAGTAGTAGTAGTAAGTAGTGATAGTGGTAGCAGACAGAGCAAGAGAAGAGACGAGCAGGAGCACCACAAAGAGTCGTCGTTGTCCTTGTTGGTAGCGCCAAATGGTTTAGGATGTTGGGGTTTAGGGGCCCGATGCCTTTCAATCGACTTTGCCGTGGCGTTCATCATTTGAACGGGAGGTAGAGGCAGGCGAGCCGTAAGGCGGCTTGGCCGCGTGTTTACCGCCTTGATCTCCCAGAACGCAGCGTGAGCGATGTTGCGCTTGCGCAAACGCAAACACTGACGAGCGCCGGGACAAAAAGCATTCTGATACGACTCATCCGCATGAGAGTGGCATTTATGGTGAAGTTTTAACAGTCAGAATCAGCGTCAACGAGAAGTTATGGCCGCGTATCACTGTGTGTGTGTCAGAAGGCTGTTGCTATCAAGAGAACTATCTCGATCTTGATGTTGCACCATCTAGCACCTCGAAAGTGTTCATGTCTTCTGTGTGGTAGATTTTCGGTGTTCAGCCACCCCAAACTGTCAACGGACCTCTCAAAGCTGCGAGATTTTTCCGAAGGCAAGGTTTGGCGCTTCCCTCTTCATTGCCGTCGCCATTAGCCGCATCTGCATCGGACCGAGATTGGGCACACTCTATCTGGCTTTGCAGGTTAAATGCTTTTGCTGACGACGACGATGACAACGACTGTTCTACTACCGCTCCCACCACTCCTGACTTACCACGACTACTGCTATAGGCTATTGCTCCACCTCGGCCTCCTCCTCCTCCCCTCCTCCACCACGGTGCTGCCTCGGCAAAGAAACCTACGCACCAAAAGTTTGTCGATGTCAGCCTGCTGTGTCCTTTCTACTGAGCACACTCATTAACCACGACTACGACATGAATGATTCTTGGCAATTTGGTCATCGGTTTTGACTGTGGCGTAAACAGTATCATACGGATTGCCTGAATTGCAGGGATTCAGAGTTGGTCTTCACGTCAAGACAGCAAGCCCGGAAGCCCTGACCCACTCCACACCCTGACCCCGCAACCCTAGAACAGCCCCCTAAACCCTAAACCCTCACACTAGTATAGGGGCCTCACGAGTTGCCTGTATTATTTTGGGGGGATTCCTTATTCTAATTGTACATTATTGAGGCCCCTACAATAGACCAGCATAGAATAGCCCGCAACCCCGAAGCCCAAAGCACCCGAAGCCTGGCCCATGAGATGCGGTTGAGTTTATGGGTAGGACCATTTAGCTACACTGTTCCTTTGGGTTGCCTCATTCTGTAAAGCTAAGGCTATACTTAAGATACCCCAAAACCCTATGCGAGTTTTGCAGTAGGGGTTAGGGTCTGGGTTTATTGGTTGGCTTGTTGTTTCGGTTTGGGGCTTGGGTTTAGGGTCAGGATTTAGGGTTTAGGCTTGTTGGTTGTATTGGGGTTTAGGGTGAACCCACCCCTGTCAGCCCAGAGGCCTCATGCCCCTGCTAGAGAACCCTTGTTATATTGTTGCCTCGAAGACTACATGGAATTGAGGGTAGTGTTCCAGTGACAGCCTAAGGAATACTACTTGTTGCCCACTATGCAAGGCTTATCAAGGCTTCAAAATCAAAGTTCTTGAAGATGCCATTAGTTGCTCACTATTCAAGGCTTCAAAATCCAAGTTCTTGAAGGAACTCAACCGTGTTTTGGTTCTTAATGCACTCCATAAAAATTGTAAAAGCTTATGAAAACCCAAAAGCTGCTGATACAAGCCTGAAAGGACACCATTCTACTTACTAAGGCCCCTTGAATATAGAACCCATGAAGAGCGGCCAAGGAATCCAAAAAGGAGCATTCACAAGGATCCTTTGCCATTGATTACTAAAGGCCTCTAAACTGCACACCATTACCGAAACAGCTCTTTGGCAGCCAGGGGTGTGGCTGTGTTACCCTGGTACTGCCCACTCCGCACGTCTTCTCAGTCTCAGGCTACAGCAGTGAGTGCAGCTCAGGGGTATTCAGCATAGTAGTAGACCCCAGCACCCTGAAAGCTACATCCTCAACCCTACGTCCACAACACTTGTTTAAGTCCCTTCTAAACCCGAGACCGCACTTGTAACTCCAATAACCATAAGCCCCTATACCCGCCTGAACGACTTTTCAATCCCCATATATCACCATACACCCTATTATGCGTCAAATCGAAAAGAGTGCAGCTTGCTATCAGACCGTACAGAGTATTATTTGGAGGGGCTGTGTGATCTTGTCCTCAGCCCAGGCGTATCGTGCAAGCTAATCGCTGCTTGGAACAACTCTGTGGATTCAGAGGCTTAGTGCAACCCTCGACGCTTACCCAAGCAACTTGAACCCATGCTCCAGTGGCATGTGCTCAGCTTAAGTTTCACTTTCTCAGTGTTTGGCCGAGCTTGGCCGACTTGACCACTTTGTGGGCCGCTGTACTAACTGGCAAATGCCGAAAGTTATTGGGAGGACGTACGCGCTGGTACACAAGGGAGGCAAGTGCAGGTATGCAAGAATTCGCAATCTGTAACAAGTCGTTTGTAAGACGCTTCAGAGGTCGTGTAACTATTCACAGAGCCCTCAGGTGATCTGCAAGACTCAAGCACCAGATGCGGCAAGTCGACCAAGCTTGGCGCCACACTGAGGCTTATCAAAGAACGGGCTCCGTGCAAACGTTCCCTGAAGCCTAAACCCCGACATCCCCCAACCCAGACATCCCCCCTAAACCCTAAACCCTAAACCGTGCCCAAAGCAAAAAAACTTTCAGAGCGCCCGTTTCTTGATGCGTCATCCGTTCGATTGCTAAATCCCGAGTCTCACACTCAGACCCGCGTCGAAGCAGATCCATAAGGAGAGAAAGGGGAAGGGTTTAGGCTTGTCGGGTATCAGCGTTTTGGGTTCAAGGTTTCCAGTAGTTGAAAAGCCCAGGGTATATTCTAACATGGAATACAGACCCCGGCTAAAACATGTCACGCTTTTTCTTCCAGGGCCATGATATTGGGATCCCCAGTGTATGTTGTTGGGAGGTGATTTCCTAGGATATATTGAGATGAAGCAAGAGTATACATGATCCTAGTCCGTATACAGGATGCCCCGATACTTTGGGGCATATGCCTCTTCTTCAACATGCCCCCATAGAGGCATGCAGCTCAGGAAACCTTCAGCAGCGTGTAACGAAGTTTCTGGATCCTAAACCCCAAACCCTACAGCCTAAACCCTTAAGGCCAAAACCCTAAACCCCAAATCCTCGATCCGAAGCACTTTAAACCCAACTCGGGAAGCCCTGTTGGATCGCGGGAAGCGTTGGTTTTGTTGTGTGTGGTTGCTGCTTTTGGGTTTAGGGTTAAGCGCCGTCGTCCTTCCGGTTTCGAAATTTTAGGGTTTACTGCTGGTCTCAGGAATATAGCTATCTCACCCCGCTAAAAACTAAGAACGCTAGCCTTAGTAGTGGTCCTCAAAATCCGGTGTTCTCTTCTGGCGTCCGTGCGAAGCGGATCCTGCAACTTAAAATTTAGGCTTATACCGAGGGTGCAACAAAATCTGAAGCCCCCAACTTATAGAAATCCACGCATTGTTGTTGATCGAATCTCCAACTTTAGACTCCTATCGACCGATGCATCTTGAGTTTAGAGTGTACAGGTCGATGGGTTTGAGCCGCTGAATCGCTTGCAGCCACGAACCATACCACATCGCGCATCCATCCCATGGTGGCATCAAAACCTAGCACGTACTAATAGACTAGCATATGGGATGTTGTTTGTATATTCTACTCAGCTCGATCGTGTGGCATCGGCTTGAAAGTAGATGGACTTCCATCTCACCTTGCGACGTCAGGGTTGAGGGTTTGGATTTCCTCAACCCCAAGCTGTAGGCCTTGGGATGTATGGCTTCGGGGTTGGGCTGGCTGTAGTAGTGCTGCTCAGAGATGCAGCGTACGGAAGACACCTCAAGTGGACCGCATCCCTCGGCCCACGAGAAATGCCGCGACGCTTGCTTTCGCCACTTGGAGTCCAGTTAGAACTGCGGCAGAGCCATGTTAGTTGTTCTGCAGGCATGAGTTGAGATGTCCTGCGCAAATTTGGGCACGGCTTGCTTTCCTACGATGCTTGCCACTGTTTGCTAGGCTTTGGCGTTCCTCAGTGGGGGCTGTAACTTGTTCGCACAGTCGCACCACACCAAGTTGCTTCCTGGTAAAACTTACGGCTACTATAGGGGCCGCAATGATGACCTACATTATGTTGAGGGCTCCTTGTTATAATTGTACTATAAGGGACCCCAAAACCCTATTCTAATTATTAATGCCCCTACATTACATAGACCTTGTCGGGGCCGAAGTCGCAGGTCGCATCGATCCATGGATTGGAGAGTGATTTAGGAGGTTCGAATCTACACCTTGGTTTAGGGTTTAGGGGTTTAAGGTTTAGGGTTTAGGGGTTTAGGGCTTTGGGTTTAGGGTAACTTGTGCTGTGAGGCTCCGCACTGCAGCTGTACCCTAAACTGGAAGCCCTGAACCCTAAAACCACAAGCCAAAAGCCCCAACCCCTAAACAGTACACTTTCTGGCGTCATATAGTGAAGGAGCTCAAAGCAGAAAGCCGTAAACCTGAAACCCTAGACCCTAAACCTTCGACATTCCACCGGTGGAACGACAATCTGTTTCTTGGCGCCTCATGAAACTCGGGGTTTGGATTAGGGGTTTGGGGGATGAGGAATTGCGGTAGAGGTTTAGAGTTTAGGGATTTAGGATTTAGTTTTCGGTTCTCCCTTTCGAAAGGGTCGGCGCGTTTGGGTTAAGGGTTTGGGGCTAACCAGAAACCTTACAGCCGAAACACCTAGACCTTTCATCCCCGAATCCCCTAAACCCACCGAATCCCTGAGCCTGACACCCCGAACCCTTTAACCGCAGAGGCTGTAGAATCCCAATCCAGAGACCGCACGGCTTCAAACAGCAAGTTTGTTATTGTTGCTCCTATGTCTCATTCTTATCCACTGTCTTCCTAATAGCCTAAACCCGAAGCCCTCAAACTCTGCTTGTTCTTATTCAGCCTTAAAGCCTAAACCCTAAATTCAGAAAACCTTAGAATCTTAGGCCCTGAGCCCTTAAACCTTGAAGTCTTCGGTCAGTCTGAGGGCTATCACGGCCCCCTTGGGCTCCACCAGGGAGGCTCGTCCCTGGCACCACGGAAGCATGCCGAGAGGGGGGGGGGGGGGCGNNGGGGGGGGGGGGGGGGGGCGAGGGGTTCGGATAATGGGTTTGGGGTTTGGTTTAGTTGGGTGTTTTGATTTTTTGGGGTTCGTTCTTCCAGAGTGTTGTCTGGGGGTTTTGAGGCACTGGGTGTGGGTGCTGTTCGTTGATCAGGGTTAGCAAGTATGTCAATCATTGCCTCAATGTAGAGCCCTCAAGTCACAGCTTGCCTGTCCTTGGACTCAGGTGTGATGTGTGATGATGTGTGCTTGCCTGGACATGATGCTATGCTCTTCCACATGACTGTCTGCTCAGTACGTACTGCGTCTGCTCTGTTTCCTACTGTTTGCATGAACGATACCTGTGTCGTTCAAAAATGGCCAACTCGCTTGGGTTGATGGATTCGGGGGTCGGGGGCTAAGAAGCTCAGCTGCAGCTACAGTTCAGGGTTCAGGGTGTAATAGCGAACCTGAACACGGGTCATGCGTAGCTACGACATGGATGGTCGGCATTGAACTGAAACCCTAAACCCTAAACCCGGGACCCTAAACCCTAAACCCTAAACCCTAGACCCTAAACCTTAAACCCTAAACCCTCAACCCGACTTCCCGAGCCCCCTGCCCGGCTAAGAGCACCAACTCAGGCTTGGCGCTGGTCTTTCTGGCGTCGGCAGGGTGTCTTGGCGGAGGTCATCTCCCGGATCCATAGCTTCAGTTGGGTGGTTGTCAAAATTATGGTCCCTTGTGGGGGTCCTTATTATAATACGGCACCTATTATTTAGGGTACCCCAAAAGGGACCATAATTTTGACAACTACCCAGTTGTAGCCTCTAACTCTAGCTTGATCTACACCGCTTCCAAGCACCGCGGCAACTGCAGCAATGTAGGGGTCTCAACTGGATGCCCTCTTAGAGGTCCTTAAGAAACATGAGGTTCTTGCGTTCCAATATAGAGCCCTAAGTAGTGGGATCCTCATTATCCCTAAGCCCGAAACCCTTAACCCGTAATAAGGTGCCCCCCCTTCAAAACAAGTTAAGAGATCCCTATGTAGGCATGTCAAAAGCAGGCCCCTTGCTTCCTCAGGCTCCCAGCGGCTTGGAGTTAGGCAGAGCTTCAATTTAGGGCTTCAGTAAATGGTTTCAGAGTTTTGGGGGTTTCAAGCTTAGGGAGATATGAAGATTGGACTGGCCAGGGTAAGCGGAGCCCTTCACAGGCTATTCGACATACAAAAGTTTATATAAAATTCTACACCCAAAACTGCCCCAAACCCGAATCTCTAAATCTTTCAGCCGAAAATGTTGACCCGAGAGGTCCGCAAAAACAACCCTGCCCTCGACTGTCAGCTCTGCAGCTTAAAGCATCGCTGGACAGAGCAGCCACCGTCATGTTTAGAAACCCAAAAAGGACATAAGCATAGTTATTCTATCGGGATATCCCTACCTTCTTGGGCTTCATAATAAGGGGATTTATGTGGGATATCCCTATCCTAATTTTTGCTTATGTGCTTTTTTGGGGTCCTAATGTTAAATCATGGGATGCTGGACCTCTTCACTGCAACGCTCCGCAGCCTCAACCCCTGCACTGGAACCAAACCAAGGCAAGATCTAAGCGAGCTCATAACCCTAAACCCTTCAACCCTAAACCCCTAAACCCCTAGACCCCTAAACCCCTAAACCTTTAAACCCTAAACCCTAAACCCTCGAACACCCTCCACCCTAAGGTTTGGTCAGCTCTTTTTGGAGATCGGGCATCCGCGCGTGCCCCTGCCCCCACGCTGGAGGCCTGAAGCCTCTTCCACGGTTCGAGGTGTCTGGGTTTAGGGTTTAGGGTCTAGGGTTTAGGGTTTAGGGTCTAGGGTTTAGGGTTTAGGGTCTAGGGTTTAGGGCTTAGGGTTTAGGGTCTAAAGTAGAACCCATGGGCCCCTAGTATGGGCCCTTAACCCTGGGACCCTAATATACCTACTATATACCCTATATATACCCGTAAGGGACCCTAGAATCCCCTAAGGGCCCATGTTAGGGGCCCATGGGTTCAACCTTAGATTGGGGTTTAGGGTCTAGGGTTTAGGTGTCTGGCTCGGGGTTTCAGTAGGGCGTCCTAGAGTGTCCTTTACAGGGCTTTCAGGTATCTTATCATGGCGTCCCTTTAAAGGTATTTGGGTGGTTGTCAAAATTATGGTCCCTTTTTGGGTCCTTATTATAATTCGGCACCTATTATATTTAGGGTACCCCAAAAGGGATCTTACAAAAACCCCACAGACAGGTCGCCTCCACTCTCACAGTCGGTCTGAGTCGCTCCTGCAATTGTCGGGTTTCAAGATTTAGGGTTCAGGGTTAAGGGCGTAGGATTTAGGGTTCAGGGTTTAGGGCTTAGGGTTTAGGGTTCAGGGTTAAGGGCTTAGGGTTTAGGGTTTAGGGTTTAAGGCTCAGCAGTTCGAAGTCACGAACCGAATAGCGGATGCATACGGACCCTAAACAATGAGATCCACAGTGCCCAAGGGATCCCGGGAGCCCCCCGACAAGGATTTCCATTCAGGGCTCGAGGCATATAGTGTCGTTATAGGGTTGGGTTTAGGGTTTAGGGTATAGGGTATAGGATTTAGGGTTGGTCGCTATAGTGCTTAGATCGCGGTTTTGTGTTGGCTATTTGGCTAGCAGCGGTACCTCGCAACACTCGCAACACCTCACAGAAGCACTACGCTGCAGCTCAGCCCAAACCCGAAACCAAATTCCAGTGCCATGCCTGCCTGTCGGACGAAATAAAAGAGATGCTGCAGAAATGGTAGCAGTCGGGCCATAGGATATCTTAGTTAACTAGTTAGTTAGTTAGTTAGTTAGTTAGTTAGTTAGTTAGTTAGTTAGTTAGTAGTTAGTTAGTTAGTTAGTTAGTTAGTTAGTTAGTTAGTTAGTTAGTTAGTTAGTACACTTATGCATCCAGGGGCACAGAGCGACATAGGGAGAGATGTCGTCAGCTGGGAATCTCCTCCATCTGGAACAGAAACGGGCCCTTAAAAGAAAACTGCAAGGAACCCTGAATAGTTTACCTTTCCAATGTTGTTCAATATCATTATGTCCTTATACAAATCCTAAACCCTGAGCAACCTGCCTTTTTAGGGCCTCTTATTATTTCCTTCTTCAAGAGAGGTCTGTTTAGGCTCCTAGGGTGCACGGAAACTGCAGGATGCTAGTCGCAGAGTGTCTTGGAGGCATGGAGCTCTTTTAGGGTTTAGGGGTTTAGGCTTTGGGGTTCAGGGGTTTAGGGGTTTGGGGTTGAGGGTTTACTGGAGCCAAGCCCTGAAGCTCCGAACGTCCGGAACAACAAAAAAGGAGAGAAAGGAAAAGAAGCCACCGGCTACCGGCAAGACAGGACCAGAGCATCTCCCAACGAGGATGCAACCATGAGCAAGCTGGAGAGAGGAGCTGATGAACAACCAAGCTCTTTCAGCGCCTTCATGGAACAACGTCTACACAATAGAAAAGGACAAGAGGTCGCGACACCTGAGCAGCAAAGCGAGATGAGACCATACTTCGTGGAATGCGCAAAGTGCGGGCGGCGTTAACCGACCCAAAATTGGCGGCCTCATGTCAGAAAGCTCTGCCTTACGCATGCCCGATCTAGCAACCGTTAGTCCAAGTCCCCAAAAATCTTGCTGAAACCACAGTGAACGGATGGGTGTGTGAGCACCAGTGGGGAGAGGGATAAGACTAGTTCTAGACTGGTGAGGGCAGAGTCTGTTTGAGAAGGACCAGTGCTGCGTTCCGCCGTAGCCGCGTCTCAGCTCTGAAGACCTCGCTTGGATTCAATCACGAAGCTCATCCATAAAAGCCGTAACATCCACGATGCACGGCCTCTAGGTTATGACAAGTGGCGCTACACTGCAGTCAGACATGCCATCTTAATCGTTTTTTTGTCGGGCGAAGGTCAGATCTGCAGCTCCGAGGCTGAGCCCCAACTGGTGATTCTGTTTCGCACGGATGGCTTCGGGCCGGCCCTGGAAGACTGTCCAGATCTCCTTTGTCGACGGTGAGATGCAGGAGGGAGAGGCGCACCAACTCTCTTTCAAGCCCAGTCACTGTCTGCGACACCGACAACCCGATCAAGGTGCATGGGAATACCCGTGTGGGCACGGTGGCCGCGGGGGCCATCCAGACTATAAGTGGTGTTCCGGTCAAGGCAACGAGCGAGTCTCGACCCTGCAGCAAGGCATCACCCTGATAAGGCTGCCGCCGTCGATGGCCCAAGTCCAGTGCCTCGGATTGCAAGTTGCAGCTCACCCAAGCCACGCAAGGCCCCGATGAGGAGGAGGAGTCCCTGTCCCGGCCTAAGCTTTCCTATGTCTTTCTCACTCGTGCCCAGTCTAACGCTAGCCAGGACGTCTGGCTTCTACACGAGTGTAGAAGAAGACGAAGAAGGCTGAGGCTTTGGTATTGCTTCACTCCCTTCCAGCACACCAACGTACAACCCATCCAAGGAATAGCTTTGGTCGCGACTCGGCTGCAAGAATGTATTCCCAAGCTTGCGTCGCGTTTGCGTTGATTCACTCCCTTCCAGTATACCAACCTACAACAGACACTGCGGAACGAAGGAGATGGAGTGGACAGCGCGGCCAATGTGATAGCTAGTACTGATGAGGACGGGACAGCAAGGGCGAGTCAAGGGAAAAATTGGGTTTGTTGATGTTTTTGAGCACGAATTGGGCTGCTGTTCCACGCTACTGAGTGCGAGTGCGCTCTCACAGATAAAGTGCAATGGCAGCGACATTGGCTCACAGTTTGGTGCCGGGCATTCCTTGGTTCGCTCACCTCTCCAGCCGAGCTCTCAGCTGGAGTTTGCCAATTGACACTCCTTCAGAAGTGACTCCCGGCTACGAACTCCTCAGCAGGCTTCGGCATGCCCTTCCTGAGCTGGCACGACACGGAAGAGGCACTCCGAAATAGCCCAAGTCGCCTAAGATGAAGCTCGAAGCCGCGCAGGTGTCGTACATGACCTCGGAGCAATAGGCCGTCCCTCACCCGCAACACAAGAAGAGAAAGAAGCACGCTGGCTCGCAGGAGTACAGCTACTCCGTCTCCTGGCAGGCGCGAGTCGTGCAACCGCCAAACCCCAGCATAGCGACACTGTCCCGCACAGGAGCGGATCCTGCCACAATCCTTCCGATGGGTCTGCCCCAGCCGGGCCGAAGAGGAGGCGGGGCAGACGCATCCGGCCCCGGCGGCCGCCCGTTTTTGCGACCCGACCACGCACCGCCGAGAGCCCGATTTCCCAGTGTGCCCCGCCTAGAGTTTGAGCACGATTCCGGCCGATTCGCGGTTGCCCTGTCAAAATCGGTGCCAGCCAGCCCCGGGGAGGGTTTAGAGGATGGGTCGAACACAGCCACACAGAATCGCCGGAGTCACGCAACAGCCGCGGCCCCGATTTTCAACGCAGGCCCCGCCTGTGTTGAGCGCATGTTCCCGGCCCGCCGGCCAAAAGCGACGCAGCCAGCCCCGAGAAGGCCCGCGCATGGCCAAAACGGCTTTGCCGGGACGTTTCACACCAAACTGTGGCGAGAGCGCGACTTCGGCGGGTACGTCCCCTAGGTTTGGCTCAAGTTTTCCTGGCTCCGGCCGTTCAGTGTCGATTGGCGGCGAGCCTGTGGCTATCGTCGACCTGATCCGTGGGGAGTTTAGGATGCTCACTGATGCTCGCCGACGCTTTGCTCGCTGATGCCCTTTTTGTTTTCAATTCGTAACAGTTTACATTTTGCTAGAGTGCTTTCGCCGTGTTTTCTTTTTGGTTTGGTTCAGGGCACCCTAACCCCTTCAACCCACTGTAGGTTTTTGACACCCCAGCTGCTCTGCAAGTGCCCTGCTGTCCTAACCCGTAGGCCTTTGTCCCTCTGCCCTGCACGGACTTGTTTTGCTTCCCGCGCCCGCCCCTCAAAGGTAGCAGTTCGTCGAATGCGGTAGGCAGCACACATAGCAGAATAGACGGCACACGGCGGCATAGGCGGCACAGCAACAGTAGCAGCATGAGTAAGCAGCGCGGGCGGCATAGCATGGCGATAGACATGTCGGTGGCCGACTTTCGCCGCGAGGTGGCGACAACTCTGGCGGAGCAGAGGTTGTCGCGGAAGAAGAAGGCTGGGTCGCACTGTTCTTCTTCAGGGGAGCTCATAGATGCGTGTCGCGGTAGGACATCCTCATCGCAATGAACGCCTTCAGTGACGCGGTGGTGCGGAGACTGATAAAGGACGTCATGCAGGGATGAGATCGACTTCAGCATCAGCGACGCTGCGGCCTTAATCCGAGACGGTCTGAGCCATAGGGAACGGAGGTCAGTTCGTCCGTGTTCGGAGGTCGTGGCAATCATCGGGGTGGCGATGGCTAGCAACGATATCCGGAGCCCGCCATCGCGCCAGCCCCGTACCCAAGAAACGTGTCAGATTCCAGATGAACGATTTAAGTCTCATACCCGCCGCTTCGAGGCCGCTGGCGAATGCCGATATCGGCATGGACTGAGAAAGGCACTGAGTCATGACAGGCCTCTATCGCCGCTACTGCCAAATGGGGTAGATGATAATTTCATGCAACGGGAGCGCGAGATTTTTTGTAGACATGGTGCTGGAGCCGTGAAGGCCATCAAGGCCGCGAACGACCGAAGAGTTTTTGGAAAAGTGCTTTCGGCCTCCTACGTTGCTCCTTTTGGGCCCTGCAAATGAGTGCGCGTCCCTAACCCTTAGGTATCCCACTTGCGTCCCTGCACTTAACTTTTTTTCCTTTCCGTGCTCGCTGTTCAAGGGTAGCGGCGGGGGTTTGTCGGGTGGTTGGGGGGTGGGTGGGCTTGCATCGCTGGGGCCTCGGAGTGTGGGAGTTTTAGAAGTTGTCGGTGGCCCCCGGCATGGCGGCCTTAAGGTCGCCTCGGCTGTCGCCTTGTCATAGAAGAGCCCGGCTTTGCTGCGGGGGCGTCCGCCAATGACATCATGAAGCTTGCGTATCGCAAGATGTCCTTGTTGGTTCACCCGGACAGGAATGGTGGCTCTCGGAAAGCCACGTCGGCCTACCAGGTACTGCAGAAAACCTGGGCCGGGAGATACGGAGCTTCCTCCCAGGCCTCATCCCTACTCTGAGGCTGTTGCATCTTCGCGGCGAGGAGCGGCGTTTCTTGGAGCAGGAAGCCCTCGTCTCGCGCCTGGCCGAGGTGCGGCGTTGTGGTCCGCACAGTTCCTGTTTCGACTCCACGCTTCATGTCAGGCTGCTACTTCGTCCCCGAGCACATCTTCGAGCGACCAGGCTGGCTGCCGTTCTCTTTGAAATGCTTGGTCTACTGCTTCCTGCCAGGCCCCAGGTGGATCGACCTCGGCCTTTTCCCCGACTTCGGACCAGCAGGCCCGGCTCCGCCTTTCCATCAAACGCATCAAACTCATCAAACCTGTTGTCAGGCTCCTGGTGTATCAACTCCCCCGGCTTCGGACCAGCAGGCTGTCTTCCCCTCAAATGTATCAAATAGACCAAATCTTGGCTCAGGCTCCCGATCCATCGACCGAGGAAGCTCCGCCGACTGCAGACCGCGAGGCCGGCTCTGGAGTTTGATGACTTTGATGGTTGTGATGGCCGCCCGAGGCTGCTGATCTCCCGACGGATCCTCCGGCCCGGAAGCTGCGCCGACTGCGGGCGACGAGGCCTGCTGTCGCGGAAGTCTTCGATGCACTTCAGGGCTTTGTCGATGCCAGGCCCCCGAGCCCTCAACGACAGGAGGGTCTCCCGGTGGCCAGGCCGTGGGTCAAACGCATCAAATGCGTCAAAGGTATCAAATCCTGTCAGGCCCCCGCTTCACCGGTTTTGGTGCCGATGCTCCGTCGACTGAGGCCCTCCCTCGGGAACTCGTTTGGCGTCTTTGCTGGGGTTGATGCCCCCGCCAGGCTCCCGAGCCCTCGACCACAGGAGCTCTTTCCGATGGCCAGGCCGTGGGTCAAACACGTCAAATGCGTCAAATGTATCAAATCCTGTCAGGCCCCCGCTTCATCGTCTCCCTGTGCCGGTGCTCCGTCGACTGAGACCCTGCCCCGGGAACTCGTTTGATGTATTTGATGGTTTTGATGCCCCCGCCAGGCTCCCGGCTCCTCGTCTTCGAGCGCTCCTCCGGCATCGCACCACGAGGCTGGCATGAGCCACGCCCTTTTTTCGGGATTTGACGGGCTGGACCTGGCAGGATGCTGGCTTCCTGGACTATGAGGCACGCTGCTGCGCCTCGAACGGGGTGCCTGGTTCGTTATGTTTGTCGTCAGGACGCCGACATGAACGGCGACCCCCCGCCATTCGTGGAGCCGGCCTCCTCCCAGCCCGGGCCCGACGAGGAGGCCCCCGTCATCCGGTCTAGTTCAACCTGTCTTGCCATTCAACGAGCACCAGGACATGGCCGCCATCGCCCTCTCTCTTGCGCTCAAGCCCTTTAAAGCACAACTAAATCGCCTCACCACATCAAGAAGGATCGGAGATGAAAACCGCAACCGCGTCTGTTCCTGAAAAAAAATGGAGAGCGGGGAGCGGGAGCTGTAACCAAAAAGCTTTACGGGGTGTAGGGGCTTGGGGATTTAGGGGTTTAGGGTTTAGGGGTCTATATAGGGGTTTAGGGTTTAGGGCTTCTGGGTTCACAGGTTGAGGGCCTTACGGGAAGTTTCGGCTTAGGTCCTTGCTTTAATTGCCAGTAGTTCCATTTGGGTTTACGGTAGTGGCAGCTTAAGGCTTACTGCTTTAAGTTTATGGTTTAGTTTAGGGTAGCGTCGAAGTACCTATTTTAGGTCTAAAGTCTACAAACGGCAATGGACGGTACCTACTCTGTACATGGATCCCCAGGGTTAGGCGGTTAGGATAATGGCAGGTTAAGGCTTATGGTAGGGTGTAGGGACAGTCTTTAGATGGGTATCTGATTTGTTCTGCATTTGGGACACTTAGGGTTGCATGGTCCATATTCTTTGATCTCTTCGAGCTTTCTAAACTTTTCAGACCAAGATCCGAACCATGACATATGAGGCGTCTGGAAAACGGGTGTTGGGATCCCCCTATGGTCTCTGTCGCTATTACACTCCCAGGCTTCATTCTGTTTACTAAGGCCCCTAAGTTGGGAGAAGGATATTCGATAGAAGATGCAATCGTGTGAAGCGCTCGTTTCGTTGTGGGCTGTAGAATGCCTTAAGCCCGAAACCCGAAACCCTAAACCTTAAACCCAAAACCTTAGCCGCTCATACGGAGGTTTGGGAAGTACCTGGCGTCCTGGGCAGATTCGAGAATCTCATTCTCTGCTAGTAAGTATATTGGCCTACATATTTCTTTCGGTTCCCTAATCTACCGTTTTTAGAGCCACCCACTACGCGAGTCGAACTGTTCAAACTCCTAATATAGGGGCCGTAATAATTACCTATCCCATATCTTGGGGGTTCCTGAGAATAATAATATATTATGGTGTACCCCCAAACCCTAGTACAATTCTTAAGACCCCTACATTAGGTTATGATTCAATGATGTCACGGCCGATCCTGCCTTAACTCTCATCTATCGATCACTTCAGCCGAGGAATCGGGTTTAGGGTTTAGGGTTTTGCTGTTGACTTGTTTGCACCGCTTTTAGAACTCCAATTAACATCTCCGTGTTTTTGTTGGGGTAAGGTCCTCGGAAACCAGACCGGACCTTAAAAAAGCGGGGGAAGGTTAAGGGTTTAGGGATTAGGGTTCAGAGTTTACGGTTTATCGAGAAGTTGCGACCGCTGACTCTGAGACAACGCTGAGGCAAAGCATGGAGGTCTTACATCTTCCTTCCCTCTCGACTACATCGACGCTGAACGTTGTCGTGGTCCCGGGAAACCCAGGCATCTCTGATCAGCATAGAATGAGTCCGAACACAATTATCACCAAGAGGCCGACAGTACTACCTGCCCAAATCACGGAAATACAGTCTCGCTGCCTTAGCCCAATCTGCCTGTCAATGTACCGGAACGGAAACTGTCCTCAGATGCTGATGGTGCTGCGCAGCAGCACGGGCGGAAACAGCAGAGAGAAGTAGGCAAGAGAGTAGAAGTAAAGGAAGAGTAGAAGTAGCAATAGCCTTGCAACACGAAGCAGGAGCTTTTGGAACCGGCATGAATGACCAGGCAGATGCGAAGCTGCATGCAAGCACGGAGCAAGCCCTAAGCCTAAACCCTAAAGCCTAGACCGTAAACCGAAAATGCTAAACTAAATGTTTGACCGAGGGCAGCCAACAACAATCCACAGCCGAACAAGAGCCGCAAGAGCATTGCAGCAGACCGGCAAGATAGACATCGTAATGCAGGGGCCTAATCACCTCTACCATTTTGGGGGTTCCTTATTGTAAATATAGTAGAATGGGCTTCAAAACTTCTAATTATTAGTTTTTAAAGGCCCCTATATTACCGTCCCCAGATCTCCCTGATAAGGGCTAAAGGTTCAGTCTGTAGAGTTTGGGGTTTAGGGTTTGCTGCTTCGGGGTTAGTTCGGGTCGGTTTCCTTAGTTTTAGGGATTGCAGCTTAGCTTGTGGGCTGACTAAACCTTGAACTGCCAACTCTAAAACCGACGCTATGCGCATGAGCCCTTCTCTGCAGCAGGCATTCCGCATTTGTACTGCAGCTTTGCTGAAGGCCCGAAGGACTCGATGCACATCTCCGGTTTCTGGTCGTTTGAAGATCAGGGTCGCTGGGTTTAGGATTTCGGGGGGTAGTGTGAAGGGTTCAGGGTTTAGGGTTTAGGGGTTTAGGGTTTCGGGTTTAGGGTTTAGGTTTTAGTGTGACGCATCTGGGGTGGTTCGCCGTGAATCCTCGAAAACATTCATTTAAATCGCCAGCCTAAACCCAACAGCCCTGACTACAATCTCCCATACCCTAACCGACCTTGAACCCCTAAACTCGCTCTTCCCTGCACCCCAAAAGCCCAAAACCTTTCCGAGAACAAAAGCGTGATCCTCACCCCAAACATGCAACTCCCCCTAAAGCCTCAACCCTTAAGCCTTAAGCCTTTAGCCTTAAACCCTCAAGCCCTACACCCAAGACCTGCAACTTGTGATAACCTGCCTGCAGACCTGCAGCGATCCATTCTAGGAGATGCCGAGATGCATCTCGGACTCTTGCGGTGACTATAAGGGTTCCTAGAGGGTTTCTCGAAGGTTTCCTCTGAGGTATAGAAGAGTTCTTATAGGTTAAGGGGTTTAGGGGTTTAGGGTTTAGGGGTTCAGGGACTAGGCTTTAGGAGTTTAGGGTTTAGGGGCTTCTAGCTGGGCTTCTTACTAGAGTGGCCCCCTGTTTAAGACTCTCAGACTGCAGGGTTTCAGGGTTCGGGCATTGGGCTCGGGGACAAAAAGGATTCAGGTTTTAAGGGCTTCGGGTTTAAAGGTGTGGTGTAGGATTAAAAGTTGCGAGTTTGACTTTAATGGTCTGGGTTTAACTGATCGGGATGGTTATGCCCTTTTGATCTATTTCTGCTTTCATGTCGCCCAAAACCTAGTCTGATTATCTTTTTCTGCGTTTAGACTAGTTGAGATCCCCTTGTGAACCCTTCCTCCCCCTCTCGCTGTCACTCGTCCTGAGGTCGTGCGTCCATGTAGGCCAACCGGAAGCCAAAGCCGGAGGTGGGAGGAATCACGGAAAAGGAGCACACTGAGGTGCTACCACTGCCCGTAAGCTATGCACGTACACACGCACCGGCCGGTGAGGAGAGGCCAAGGTGTAGAACAAGAGGTGTGAACAAGCGCACACTGCCGGCCAGCGCGCTACAGAGGGAGGAGCGCGACGAGTGTTGCCAGTGAGGCTACCCCTCGCTAAGACGTTCAGCACCGTCGCCCGACAGCGGGCCCCCACCTGCGGTCGCAAAAAGCTTCTCAGGTGGCGAAACTTTAGGTTTAGAGTCCTTGAAAGTCAGGCTCATTGAAGGGCCCAAGAACCCATAGGCCCCATAGTAGTTCCTTTCGGGGACTCCCTATTAGAATCCTAAATATAAGCCACAAAAAGGAACTACTATGGGGCCTATGGGTAAAGTCAAAGCACAAGTCGGAGGGCGAGCAAGACTAAGATCCGGGGAGATGGTTCAGGGTTTAGGGTTTAGGGTTTAGGGGTTTAGGGGTGTAGGGTTTAGGGTTTAGGGGTTTAGGGGTTTAGGGTTTAGGGTTTAGGGTTTAGGGTAGAACCATCTCGCCAAGACGAACCTGCCCACGACGGAAACCAAGTCGAAACAGCGGGGACGCAGCGCCTGGAAGATCAGAACCTACACTGGTCTGCAAAATCAGTGCGATAGAATACGAATAGTTTACATACATAAACATATGCTTATATATATATATATATAGATGTGTGTGTGTGTGTTGCAGCCAGTGACGGAGCCGGTTGCAAAACTGTTTTTTTTGGGGGGGTTCCTTTGGGCTTGTCTAATATGAGATACCCCAAAGCCTCATTCCAACTGTTAAGGCCCCTATATTACACCGGGTGCGTCCAGGGACTTACTTTAAAAACAAGTATTAGGTGTGTAGGGGTTCGGAGTTCCGGTTTTAGGGATCTGGAGTTGAGGGCTCTAGTGATGTATGCAAGCAGTCACTGCGGACGATCCGGTGCTTAGTGGTTTTAGCGGTTCAGAGTTTAAGGGTTTAGGGTTGGAAGATGGGCTTAAGTTTTGTTGTTAATTTTTGGAGGTTAGTCACTCGGTTAGTCTTGCAAAATTGAAGTCTCTCAAAAGTTTGCACCCAGGCACATTCTTGGCTACAGCGACCCGGCGGCCGTTTGTTGGTGTGTGGCGTTTCTACTGCTTCTTCACATGATTAAGGTTCTAGGGTTCATGCTTTTGTTTGCATGTCTTAAGTTGTTTTCGGTTTTCTGTTTTTTGCGAGTCAGGTTTAGACCCCTAGAGATCTCTTAGAGCCTGAAGCTATTTGCTTTTGGCTCCTGTAGCTTTCTGACCGGAGAGCCCAGCCAGCATACTCTTATTAAGACAGGTACTTCAAGTGTTAGGGTTTCGTATTGCGGTTTAGGGTTGAGGAATAGCCCTCACTCGTACCGGAAAACAGGGTTTCGTAGTGTGGTTTTGGGATCAATAACCTTCCACAAACATCACAGTTAATTATTGAGCTCGGTGGGTAATTTCTGGTGATTCCATGCAGCATATCGGTGCAGCCGCATCGGCTTCTTCTGCTCATCCCCGAAGATGGTAGAGTTCAGGTAGTATAGGGTAGCACCTTTTCCGGTTCAGGGGTCTATTTCAACGTTTACCGTCTGGGACTAGAGTTTCAGGGATTGAGTTCTGGGTTTCAGGGGTTTAATCAGGGTTCGAGGTTGAGGGTTTTAAGCTTCTGTCAGGACTTCGCGGTGTGAGAACATCTGGCCTTAAACCAAGTCGTAGTCCCTATATCCTACGCCCTAAACGCTGAACCCGCTACTAGGCAATTTCGTGACAGAGACCTTGCCCAACAGAGTGGCGACCATCGAGGAGGAAGCAGAGTCTTTGGGGGACCTCCTTGAGGCCTGCTGATGCATGATCGGTTTAGGGTTTAGGGTTTTGAGGAGTGAGGACACCCTGATGCTAAACAACCCCAAAACCTAAGCCCCTAAACATCCTGATGCTTAAAAACCCCCAAATCCAAGTCCTAAGCACTACAACCATGCACCGCGAGCCCTTAGACCCGAAAACCTCAAACCCGAAAGACCGTAAACCCCCAAGCAAAAAAATTAAAACACTGAACATTACCTAAACCCCTACGTACATCCAGGGAGCTGGGGATGTCCAAAAAGGTAGATGGAGGTTCCTTATTGTATTTCTTGTCTAATATACCCTAAACCCTAAAGTCAAAGCCTAAACCCGAGACCCTAAACCCGAACCCTATTCGAATTATTTTGGGCCCCTAGGTTGCTCACCCCCTGCACCCCTAAACCCCGAACCCCTAAACCCCCCTCGAAGCCCTGAATTCGTGATCCTCCAAAACCCACCAGAACCCTCAGCCCCGAGCCATCCGCTCAGGGTCGCAAGGTCTTTGACCTTTGGGTTTAGGATTTAGGGTTTAGGGGTTTAGGGTTTTAGGGTTTACGGGTTTAGGGCTTCAGGGGTTTAGGGGTTTAGGGTTTTAGGGTTTAGGGGTTTAGGGTTTTATCTAGGGTTTTGGGTTTAGGGTTTCAGGGGTTTAGGGTTTAGGAGCGGGTCCCCAAGCCCCTAAAGCTGAACCCCTTTCCTTATGAACCCAAGCCCTATACTCTAAACCCTAAACCCTAAACCCTAAACCCTAAACCCTAAACCGTGTTACTCCTAAACCCTTAGAGTCTCGGGTGACCTACCACGCAGCCCCTGAAAGGAAGTCATCGGCCAAAGCGAGAATGTTCTACTCGTCGCACACTCCATAGGCAGGTTTGGGATTTAGGGTTTGGAGGGTTTAGGTTTAGGTTTTAGGGTTTAGGGAAAGTTTGGGATTTAGGGTTTGGAGGGTTTAGACGGTGTTGTAGAGTTTACGCATGAATGACAGCGGGTTGAATGAAGGTGCTTAGACAATGTTCTTGCTTAGGGAGGTTATGGAGTTTCAGGGTTTATATTCATGTGGAGTTCTTGGGGTTGCATGTACAAGCCTGGGCAATTAGTAACACAGTTCCTTAGGGCTCATAAATTACCATAGTTATAGTGAAATATTCACCAAAACGCGATTGAAATCATTAAGGCCCCCTAAAACGTTTACAAGACCATATCCAATCCGCATAACACCCACAAAGTAACACTCTAAAGGAACCCTATTCCAATTTTCTAGGCCAGCAAAGGCCGTCGATGCTTTGTATTTGATTTGGGGTGCTTTGGTTCTTGTCGTGCGTTGTGGGTTCCAGGCTCCTGTTGGAAACAGCACCGCTCCATGTATTGATGTAGACCCCTCTGAATAAACCTCCTTCTCTTAATGACTAGATTATACTAGAGATCCTAACATTATGTTGGCCCTTTGTTGGTTAGTGGTTTACTTTAACCGGCCCTGCCCCGACTCACCTCGTAGCGCGTGCACGCCTGTTGCACTGTTGTGCGGCAGGTTTCTGGAGCCTAAACCTTATTTTCATCACAAGGCACCAGTAAGCGGGGTAAGCCGCAAAAGGGAATTCCAGCCAACACCGGCCGTCCCTCTCCTGTTGAGAATGGGGCTTCTTCCGTCTATGGGGAAGGGGGGAGGGTCTTGATACTTTGAAGTAGGGCTTATTAAGGCTGACTTTAATTTGGGGGTTTAGATTCGGCATTGCGGCATTGCGGCGTGAGTCTCAACCCTAGGAACAGGAAAGCTGGCCAGTGGCAGGTGCTTGGTGCATGCTGCGGCGAATGCAGAAGCGACCACTCTGGCACAACCGCCGCTTCCTCGCCGCGACTGGTATTGATCTATTGGGGGCCTCAGGGTTAAAGGGCCCTACACCGTAAGTAAATCCCGAAAAAAGAGGGTTTATGTGGTCGACAAGGGTTTTAAACAAGTTTTATAATACACCATGAAAGCAAACCCTTTCTTCTCGGGTTCAAGGGTTCTTCTCGATGGCTCCATGGTACTCCGGGGTTCTCTTAGCTTAGCGTGTCGTTCAATGTGTCCCAAAGCGGACTTAAGGCCAACCCAAAAATCTCAATACATATATATATATATATGTGTACAAAAACATATATACATATACATATACATACAAGAAGAACCCGAAGCCCTATAAACCCCAAACCCTTTCAGGATTCAGGGTTCAGGGTTTCACAGAGTTTGGGGCTTGAGAAGCGGTTACCCATAGGCCCCATGGTAGTACCTTTTTGGGATTACCTTATAGGGTTCTATATATGAACCCCAAAAAGGAACTACTTTAGGGCCTATGGGTAGCCATCCCCAGGTGCTGGCCATGCCGTTTTTGGAGATTGATGTCGAAAGTGAGAAGCGCCATGGCTTTGTGTGGAGTTGTTCGGACGTTCAGGGCTCTGTCATGGGCTCCTTAAAGAAGGCGTCTCGACTGCTACTATACCGGGTTCTACGTCGAGTTTTCAGGGCATTTAGGGCCTGTTTTCAGGTTGGGGGTCACGGGATGTCGAGGGTTTGTGGTCTACCGGCTTGCAACCACCTTGCCGTCCGTTTTTGTCTGCCGCAGGCCCGTACATACTTACAATTACGATGGTAGAGTGTTAGACTTATCTCCCCCCCAAAACCCTAAACCCTAAACCCTAAACTCCCAAACCCCATTGCAGAAACTGATCCTCTTCCTATGAGAGGCGGCGGTGCGACAGTGCTCGTTCCGGGCTTCATACGAAAATGGGTCAAGCCTTGCAATTCTCATTCATAGGGTTTAGGGTTTAGGGATAGTCTCGGTATGACTAGACTAGTATAAACCCTAAACCCTAAACCCTAAACCCTAAACCCTAAACCCTAAACCCTAAACCCTAAACCATTACCAGTTACTGCAGATTTCTTCCTCATCTTCATGAGTTGACCTATTCCGATCCTTTGCGCCAGTGTTGACACTGCGGGTCTCCACGGCCCCTCTGAGCCGCCTCGGATCCTGCCCCCTTGTCTCGGTAAGGGCCCAGGTTTAGGGTTTAGGGTTTAGGGTTTAGGGTTTAGGGTTTAGGGTTTAGGGTTTAGGGTTTAGGGTTCAGGGTTTAGGGTTTAGGGTTTAGGGTTTAGGGCCCAATATAGGAGCCTAAATAATTGCCACTACCGTTTTGGTGCTTCTTTATGATAGTTATCCCGAAACCCTTCTAATTGTTAAGGCCCCTATATGACAGGCTTTAGGGTTGTCTTTCACCCCCAAAGCCACAGGAAATTTCGGTATCGCAGCTGTCTCCACATCTCAGAAGAGCCCCTAAACCCAAAGCCCTTGTTGAGCAGTCTCGAAATTGTCGCCTAAACCCGAAACCCTTAAACCACTAAACTCAAAACCCTAAACCCTAAACCCTAAACCCCTAAACCCTAAACTTTCAGGTCCCGGCAGAAGACCTTGCGCGACCTGGTTCTGTCACCCTGGGGACAAGTGGCTGTGCCAGGCCTTTGCAGCTCCTTCATTTAGGGTTTAGGGGTTCAGGGGTGTAGGGTTTAGGGGTTCATTGTTTACGGGTTTAGGGGTTCGGGGTTTACGGATTTAGGGTTTAGGTTTGAGTTCAGGGTTTGGTGGTTTAGGGAAGTTTAGGGGCTAGGGGTTTAGGGTTTGGGTTTTGGAGCCTTGGCAAGATCATTTCCTTCTTAGGCACTTAGAGCCAGACAACTCACAAACAAGAGAAGAAGGCAGGGGGCATGGTTGCTGCACTAAGTTGCGCTGCCATGTTGGGTGCCGCGTGTGCATGCTGCCAGTTTCGTCTGTGACAGGATGCATGCATGCATGCATGCATTGAGGTATGTTCGCATTTATGCATATGTGTTTGTGTTTATGTTTGTGTGCATGCATGCGTGTCTGTGTCTGTGTGTGTGTGTGTGTGCGTGTGTGTGTCTTTGTGTCTGTGTGTGTGTGTGTGTCTGTGTGCGTCTGTGTGTGCGTGTGTGTCTGTGTCTGTGTCTCTGTGTGTGTGTGTCAGTGTGTGTCTGTGTGTCTGTCTGTGTGTGTGTGTGTGTGTCTGTGTGTGTGTGTGTGTCTGTGTCTGTGTGCGTCTGTGTGCGGGTGTCTGTGTGTCAGTCTGTGTCTGTGTGTGTGTGTGTGTCTGTGTGCGTCTGTGGGGGTGTGTGTGTGTGTGAGCAGGTGTGCAGGCGTGCGTGTGTGCGTGTGTGTGTGTGTCTTACTTTGTTTGTTTGTTTGCTTATTTATTTGTTTGTTTGTTTGTTTGTTTGTTTGTTTGTTTGTTTGTTCGTTCGTTTGTTTGTTTGTTTGTTTGTTTGTGTGTGTGTTTGTTTGTGTTTATTTCTCGGTTTGTTTGTTTGTCTGCTTGTTTGTGTGCATGCTGGTGTTTGTGTGTGTGTGTGTGTGTGTGTGTGTTTTTGTGCGTGTGTTTGCGGCTGAAAGCGTGGGTGGCACACACGGCACAGACTTCGTCTCCCGAGTACAGGCCCCAAATCGTTGGATCCTGAATCTAAAGATCCAACAACCTTGAACCCCTAATCCTAAGAATCCCCATGCGACTCTATGAGGCCTTCTAAGGTTAGCAGTTAATTATCGCCTTAAGAACAGAGCAGCTACCGTTTGTTTTTAAAGAGAGACCCCGCCCCAACCCACACACACACACACACAGACAGGTGCAAACACACATGCACATTTATTGGGCTCGTAAACAGTTTCAGCCATCGCTGTCTTGCTGCTGGTCTGGCATGAAGCAGGCCCTAAACCCTAAACTCCAAACAGCGCACCACTACCCCTGAACCCTAACACAGTCTTAGAGCACCCTTGTGGAGGCCTTGCGAAACGTTGAACAAACATGCAAAACCCCCGCAACTCTTCAATCTAGGTAGTATTATTAGGGGTACCCCTTAAAGGGTACCCCTTCTGAACCCTACTTTTGGCTCTCTTAGAAGGGACCTTAAGGGACCTTATTGAGAGGGTCTATATCCCCACGAGTCCCCCTAATCCTAGCTCCCACAATCCCGCACGATTTTGTGGATCGCCCTGAACAGCGCAGGCTTGGCAAATCTGTTGACGTTGCTCCCAGAAAGCCTCAAGGACGAGTGTTCTGCAGGGGCTTTCCATGAAGGCTTTGAGCGGTGTTGACCTGTTGACAGGATTTTGAGTTCGTCTTACAGTTTTCTTCAGGGGTTTAAGAATGTGAGAGACGGCCTATCAGCTCGCAGGGAGTTTACGGCGTTTCACAAGGGTTCACAAAGTTTCAGCGGCACTTGCGCTGGAGGATTCTCTATCCATCTCAGGCTTGAGTCTGGGTGGTTTGCGTCGCGAGAATCCTGTTCCGAAGACGCCAAGACCCAGAGCTGGAGCCCTGAAGGTGTAATGTAGAAACCTGATTAAGAAACCCTAGCCCTATAACCCCAATATATGAGGATCCATAGTCAGAACCCTAATAAAGAGCCTGGGTTTCTTAATCAGGTTCCTACATTACTCTTTATTAGGGTTCTTAATATGGATCCTCATATATTGGGGTTCTAGGGCTAGGGTTTCTTCATCAGGTTCCTACATTACCGGCCCGGCGAAATTTAGAAGCCTGAGCAGGCAAGATAAGTCCTTTCTGGGGCTCCCTACGGGTTTAGGGTTTCGGGTTTAGTGATACGGGTTTAGGGTTTAGGGTTTAGTGACTTACGACAAAGATAACTAGATATGACTTACGAGAAAGATAACTAGATATGGCACCAGAACTCCGTCCATCAGCCTCTGATTTCGGAACCAACAACGCGAACTTCCCCTAGAAATCCTCAGAGCCCTTGGTGGCATCTAAAGCTCTTGTAGACCACTTGAAAGCCCTAGGCCTTTGAACGCAAAGCCCTGAGCTCCCTTCAGTATAATGGGCCTCACAACCCTATTCTAATCGTTAAGGCCCTATGTTACCTGGACCTATGTTTCCTGCTTGCGGTTTGGGGCTTAGGGTTTGGGGTTGTAGGGTTTTAGAGGACCCCTAGAAGGGACCCCTAATCCAAAATCCCCATATAACCCTTATATATCCCTTATATAGTCTCATAAAGCCCTATATAACCCCAAGGGTCCCTTTAAGGGTCCCTCCTTTAGTCCCTTGATCAAGGAGGGAACGCAAAACCTACTTTTTTGTAGGGTCCCTATAAATCCCATATTAGGGTTTATAATAAGAACCTGCAAAAAAGTGGGTTTTGGGTTCTTAAGGTAGGCCTTTGAACGCAGAGCCCTGAGCCCCTTTAAACCCTAAACCCTAAACCCTAAACCTTTAAAGGAGGAGGTGGCCCTTTCACAGGGAGCCGAGCCCGACTCCCCCGAAGCGAAGCAGCTGCTGAGTCACTCGGCGAGCCGATTTAGGGTTTAGGGTTTAGGGTTTAGGGTTTAGCTACCCAGAAGCTCCCCGAACCCCGAAGTAAGGATAACAGAAAAAACAGGTATAACATAGAATGTAAGAGGACCTGCGGTAGTAATTTATGATATAATGATGCACCTTCTTTTAGGTTTTAGGTCCTATAGAGGCTTAGAGGTTGCGATTTGGGGTAAGGTATCTTGTAGGGCTTACGAATGATCACACAATGGAGCATACATACCTTCTATCATTTTAAGGATCCCCCTCTGTCAAAATTCAAATTTTAGTGTGTTTGGACTCTTTGGGTGGGGTCTCAGGGCGTCTTGAATTTAGGTGTGGGGTTAAGCTCGGTAGGTCTTGGGAAAATCTATATTTTCCCTTACTGGGCTCAGGAGGACCTTATTTACGAACATGTCTCAGATACTGTAAAGCGGCAACCTAGTAAGAGTTGAGGGTTTGAAAGATCGAGACTCACATAGTTCAGGTTGTCCGCGATTGTTGAGATCATGGTAATCAATACTTTCGCTGGCGATTGCATTCATATATAGTATTGCATTCATATATAGTAACGAAGTATGGCTGCGGTGCTTCGATGTCTATACTCCTCATCACTTATCAGTATAAGCTGCGTTGCCAACGCGGTCTTCAGAATGCAGGAATACTTGCAACAAGGAGCGACGGTATCAAAAGGCTTCGACACCTCCCCTATCCTCTTGCCAGCTTCTTTTGCAAGGCACCTTTGGGAAGCAGGCACATCATTTCGAGAGTGCCCTGGATCGCAGCTGCATTGTTCCAGCCCAGAAGCAGCAGGATGTTCGGGAGGAAGTCTTTCGGTAATGGGGTGAGGGACCAAGATTTCGTATTGAGACAGGTGGGATTGTTCCTCGCTGTTTAAGCTGTTCAGCCCGTGACTTTTTATGTCAACTCCGAATCCCTAAACCCTAAACCTCCGGCTCGGAGACTTTGTCGAGTGCATGAATGTGGACTGCATATAGTCTCCATTGTAGTTCCTTTTTGGGGATACCTTATAAAATCCTTAACATATATTTGGTTTCAAAAAAAAAGGAACTACAATGGAGACTATAGGTAGGTTCGGACCTCGAATTCATTGCTGCTGCGCACTGCTCCCAGGCATGGCTTTCATGAGCATAAGCGAATTCAACCAGCCACTCGTCCGGATTGCATTGCTTCGTTTGGCGTGATGTCGGCCGCTGATTAGCAAACCCCAGCCCAAAATCAAGCATAGTTCGGCGGCGGAAGGCTTGAATGAATTTAGTTGTATTCCCCAACTACAGACGAAGAGCCGAAGGCACGAAGGTCGAACTGCCGCCTTCAAGAAAATTCAATAGCCCTCCTAAACAGATGGAAGCTTCAGAAACTAGGGGACCATATACAGACCCTAGGATAAGGTCCCTCAAAAGGTACCCGTACTTTCGACACCCCCTACATAGGCGTGGGGCATGCTTCTTGTTTGCGAAAGCTTCGCATGTCGAAGGGTTTCAGGTGTTGTTCTGCTTTTACTCTTGGAAGATACAATCTGCCCTGGATGGGAAATGAAGTAGGATTGGTTTCATAAGCACGGGCTCACAAAAGCAGATACCTCTTTCGAGATTGCTTTCACATCTAACCCTAAACCCTAAACCCTAAATGCACAGCCCCCTACACCAACTCCGGATTCGAAGCATAGGAGAGCCATAGTCGACAAAGCTGCTCCTTGGATAGCTCCTCTTTGTATATGGGTAGTTCTCTAAATGAGGGTCTCGTTTTATAAGTCCCCAATATAGTACGGCACCTTTATAAAGAGGACCCCAAAAGGGACCCTAATTTAGAGAGCTACCCATATGCTGTGGCATGTCCCAGCTGGTTCCAATGATTTCAACCCCTGGGCCACCTAGATGCATCAGATAAGTGTGCTTGAGTCGAGGGCTGTCCTGTGTTACCCGGCTTTGGCACGGTTTAGAGTTTAGGGTTTAGGGTTTAGGGTTACATGCATTCACATAGAATCATCCCCTTAAGAAGACTTGTAGAAAGCTGAGAGAATCCTTCTGCGCCTGGTTCGACAACACGAGTGGCAGGACCAGGCCAAGCTCAGCCCCATGATGCCCGAAATCCCTGAAGCCCTCTTTGTGTTGGGGCCACCCCCAAACCCTTAACCCTAAGCCCTTAGCCATAAACCCTAAACCCTTAACCCTAAACCCTTAACCTAAAACCCGAAGCCCTTCTTAACCCTAAACCCTAAACCCCAAACCCTAAACCCTAAACCCCCAACCCCCAAACCCCTACGTCTTTTAACTCGCGGGAGCTGAGGTTGCTTCCGGGAAGCGAAGACAGCAGCTTTGCAAACGGTTGGGTCTACACAGGGCTTTCGGGGTAATACAGGGGTCTGCATCTTTTGTTAGGGCCTTTATTATAGCCATGACTGGGTAAGTTGCAGCAACCCCCGCGAGCTCTGCGAGGTGAAATAGCATTAAGCGCGGCGCGAGGTACGAAATAAGAGACTCCAATCAATCAATCCCCCAGTCCCAATTGAGAATTGGCCTGAAAAGCATGAAAAGCCAAACCGATTTAGTGCCAGCTCGCTTCCCCCCCGCCTGCACCCGAGCTTGGAGGAGCCACTAAATCGTTTCGCCCTTTCGTCTGACCCTCCCAACCCAAACCGAAGCTTGGAGGAGGTCTCGAAAAGCCAAAACGAATTGGTGGCAATCCTTTCGTCCTCCCCACCTGCACCCGATCTTTGGAAGGGCCATTAAATGGTATACGACCACCCTTAGCCACCTCTCAATAAAGCTCCGTGGTTGCAGGAACGCTCATCAGTTCCGCTGGTGAAGCACGCGGGCTCGAATCCACTCTGTGCTGTTTGGGCCGTTCCCTCCCACACCACAGGTGCAGGGCCAGCCAAAAAAGACTCGCCTGCACAAGCTTGGAAGCTCCCCCACTCACCCACTTTCCCCCGCCTTGCCCGGCCTGAAACCCCTCCCTCCCCACCTGCCCCAGAGGCCCGAGCTGAAGGAGGTCTAATTACAAAGGCAAAAACGAGCTAGTGGCAGCCACTAAATCGTTTTTGTGTTTGCTGCTGCCCTCTGCTGCTCCAAGGCAGAAATAATACGCGAGATACGAAACAAGGCTGCGCGGTGAAATTATGTTTGAAATAACTGCCCAGATCGAAATCTGAAATTACGCGGTACGAGATAAGAACTATTATATTTGGCCAGATTAGAGTATTAGTGGGGCTTATGGTAGAAGGTTCCGGATGTTTGGAGAGAATGGATGGGCGTGTCCGTGTGTTGCGCTTTGAGCGTTTCGGGGTTTAGGAAACCAGGGGTTTGGAATTAGGGTTTGGGATTCGGTTCCCAGTTCTCTTGACTCTAGCAACTTTGTAATGCCCTAAACCCTAAACCCTAAACCCTAAACCCTAAACCTGGAATGAATCGTGGCGAGACAATCCTCTCAGAACTGGCCAGAATGTTCGATGTGAATGTAACAAGGACCCTAAACCCTGAACCCTAAACCCTGCAACCCTAAACCCTTAACCGGAACTCTGAACCATAAGCCTTCAGCCTTAAACCATACGCCATGAGCCTCTAAACCCAGAGCCTTACAAGTAGATCTGAAAGCACTCTGCGGTAAACAACTGCTCGCGATAAGATTGTAGTGCTACTACTACTACTACTACTACTACTACTACTACTACTACTACTACTACTACTGCTCTTAACTGCTATGATCATGACGGTCGAGCTGCATGCCGTAATGAACATCATGACGGAGAAGAGCCGGACCCTAAACCCTAAACCCCAAAGAAGAAAGCGTTGCCACGCCCCAATTTGCTTACACTTTGGAGGCCATTGGTCTGAATCCTCAGAGCCTGAAGCCGTATAAACCCGCGAACTCCTAAACCATCAAGTTTAGGGTTTAAGGTTTAAGGTTTAGGGGTTAGGGTTTAATGTTTAAGGTTTAGGGTTTAGGGTTTCGAGCTTGAAACCCTAATCACAAAGCCCTCCCCCTCTTCAAAAAAAGGCAAGAATCCCAGCTGCCGGGCCGAAACTAAGCGGCGAGGTGGCTTCTTCCTGCTGAAGCAGCTTGCCGAGATCGACTTTCCTCTGCTTTTCCTAACCGTTGATGTTGACACCTGGTGCCCGCAGGTCGGGCCATCGGGGGTGTATAGTGGAACAGCGCTGCTTTAGTTTGAGGGTCTCTTTAAAGGGCTCCATAATTCCATGGGGATTCTATCATAAGGGTTTTGGGGTTTCACTATGAGGGCATCGATAATTAGAACAGGTTTTGGTGGCAAGTACTTCATAATAGTACTAAGATAAGGAGCCCTAGTGGTCCTAGTAGTAGCCTTTAGGGCTACAGACGCAGGGCAGTTGATCTAGGCTTCTGGCTGTGGATGGGCGCAAACCCTAAACCCTAAACCCTACCCCGTCAACCCAAACCTTGCTGCACCCTGAACCCTAAACCCTAAACCGTTAGGCTTCTGGCTGTGGATGGGGGCAAACCCTAAACCCTAAACCCTACCCCGTCAACCCAAACCCTGAAGCCCGAAGCTCTGAGCTCCAAGCCGTAAGGGTTTAGGGTTTAGGGTTTAGGGTTTAGGGTTTAGGGTTTAGGGTTTAGGGTTTAGGGTTTAGGGGGGGCCTCTCTGGTTTCATGTTTTGACGTGACTGGGGGCTTTCGGGCCTCAGATTGCTGGTAGAGGGTTTGGGGTTGTGAGCTTTTAGGGTTTAGGGCTTTAGGGGTTTAGGGTGTAGTATAGAGTTTAGGGTTTAGGTTTTAGGGGTTTAGGGGTTAGGGATTTAGGGTCGAGTTTAGAGTTTAGGCTTTAGGTGTTAGGGGGGTTGCTACTTTCCTTGAGTTGAAGATTAGTATGCGACTTCTCCAGAACTGGGGCGATGGAATGTCATGTCTGCTGTTGGCAAAGGCTGTTCATGCGGCTCTTATGAGGGTTTAGGGTTTAGGGTTTAGGGTCACCGTCTCTGTTCATGTGCACTTCCCTAAACCCTAAGACACTAAACCGCGCCGCTCGCTCGGACTATTGAGCTTAGGGTTTAGGGTTTAGGGTTTAGGGTTTAGGGTTTTTCAGGTGGGTAGTTACCGTTATAGGAGCCGTATAGAAGGTATATATACCTTTTGGAAGCCTTTTAGATCCCCTATCTACCCTAAACTCCCCACCCTGTAGCTTCCTTTAATTTAGGCTCAGGTGGATGCCACAACCGCGTCTACACAGAACTTTGGCGTGCGGCCTGACTTCGCAGTCCCTGATCCTTTCAAGTGGCAGACCCCGAGGTATAAGATAGAAGCCTAAACAATTAGCTATATTATTCCTTAGCCTAAACCATCAAGTTTAGGGTTTAAGGTTAAAGGTTTAGGGTTTAGGGTTCCTTTTTGTAGGTATACTATAAAGGTGCCCCATACCCGAATCTAATTATTAAGGCCCCTACATTACATTACTGAACCGTCAGACCGCAGAGCTACACCTAAACGGTTTAGGGTTTAAGGTTTAGGGTTTAGGGTTGTGTCAGGCACACTCTCAGCGCTTGGACAACCTGGCGCAGAACATCTTGCCGTTTGCACAGCACCTGCGCCTGAGCTACAAGCATCTAGGTGCTCCTTCTTAGGAGGTTTTGGATTTGATAAGGGGTTCTGAACAATCAGGAATGCTCAGTAACGGCATACCCCTGTAGTCCCTATGCGATATGTCATTTCTGCCAGAAAACCCTATTCTAGTTGTTGAGGTCCCTTTATTACGGATTGGATACTTTAGGCTTCTGAAAACATTTGCCGCTCCGTGCTTGTACGTAAACCGGAGCTTGATTCGCTTTGGTCTGCTACGGCTTGGTTCCGGATCCTGTTTTCGAAGAAGGTTGTGAACGCGGCCTGAACATGCCTGTTTGCAGATTGCCTGTGCCAGCAGACATGACAAAAGGCACTTTGATGCATGCAGGTCGACAGGGGAGTGCTAAACAGACTTAGGTACAAAAAAGGAGGATATTCCCTTTCAGAGGTGTAGTGACCCTTCTGAGCGGATATTTCCACAAAACCCTTGGTTGTGAGATACGTTCGTTTCTTTGCTTCTTCTGCGCCCCTTAGATCGTGGCACCATAGGACTCCTCCAGAGGATCCAGATTGCTTGCACAGCAACAAGTAGGGTTTCTATACGAGGATTTATAGTTGTAGTCTACGCAGGCTTCCATCGGATAGGCACGGAGCTCTACACCTCAACCCCTAAACCTTAAACCCTAAACCCCTAAACCCTAAAACCCTAAACCCTAAACCTTATAACCATCCCCTCAACCCCTAAACCCTAAATCCTAAACCCTAAAGCCTGAATCCTGAAGGCGCCCCAGGATCCTTCATGGAAGTCCTAAATCTAGGGCATTTTTCAGGTGGGTAGTTACCGTTATAGGAGCCTTATAGGAGGTCTAGATGTCAGCCTTATAGAAGCCCTATATACCCTCAGCTCCCCACCCTGTAGCTTCCTTTAACTACATATGGGAGCCTTTGGGGTTTAGGAACCCTAAACCCTAAACCCTAAACCCTAAACCCTAAACCCTAAACCCTAAACCCTAAACACCCTAAACGCTAAACCCTCAAGGTTTAAGGGGCTCTAGGGTTGAGGAGCCTTTGGGTTTTGGGCTTAAGGGGCTTCCGGGTTCAGGAGCCCTTGGGTTGAGGGTTTAGGGTTTAGGGTTTAGGGTTTAGGGTTTAGGGTTTAGGGTTTAGGGGTTTAGGGGTTTAGGGTTTAAGGTTTAGGGTTTAGGGTTGAAGGGTCTTCAGAGTCCAGGACCCCTTGGGGCAGCAGTGTGTACCTCAGGCGTCTTGGCACTGTTCCGCACGTCTTTCTCTTCTGCAGCTCCCATCGCCGCCGCAACCTCAGGCTTTAGGGTTTAGGGTTTAGGGTTTAGGGCTTAAGGTGTGCAAACCTAGGAGTTAGTACAGAGCTAGGGTTCAGGGATTAGGGCCCGTCACCCAGTATCACGAGTAACGATCAGTTGCGAAAGCAATGGGAAGAGTATCCGTAATGGAACACAACGGCGAAAACACGACATGGACTGCACCAAAACCCATGGCCCACCACCCCTAAAGCACACCAAAAGTCCCTCAGCCGCAAATCCCAAACCATCGAATCCTACAGCCCTCAACCCATAAACCCTAAACCCTCAACATATCCATCTGGCTCATGCCCGACAATTGTGAACATCCCAGGTGCCGTCGCCGACGCTATTTGCAAGGTCTGGAAGAGCCAGGAAGCGAAAAATGCACCAGGAGGGTTGGGGTTGGGGTTCTGTCGGGTGCTCCCCCCACAGGGTCTTACAGATCACCACAGATCCGAGTGTTGAAGGGACAGACGCACTATAGGCCCTCGCCTCATGCTGTTTCTTGGTGGGCCTTAATGGCTTAGCCTGGCCCTCCTTGAGCACTAAACCGCAAACCTCGTGCAAGTTTGCTGGGTTGAGCACCGTTTCAGTCAGTGAAGTGTTGTGATGTCTCCGATGCTGATCCCATTACAGAGGCCTCATCGTATGAACATTCGCACAAAAGCTTGTTGGCCCTGTAATCGCAGGAAGCCAGGGATTTAGCAAGGGGACTTAGGTTTCAGTGAGTCATGTAGGGACCACGTTCTTCGGGGTTTAGGGCTCAGGGTTTAGGGTTTAGGGTCCCACACCCAACTCTCGTACATTCCCATCCAGTCTTCCACTAGCCACTTTTTAAGGGCCTGAATTGTTGGATACACTCTTGCTCCGGGTTCCCTAAGATGTTCATAGCGCAGACACCCACAACCCCCTAGTCTAATTCTTCAGGCTTCCACCTAAACCCTAAACCCTTAAGCCCAGAACCCTAAACCTTAGCCCTAAACCCAAAACGCATGCCCGCGGCGCTATGAACACATCCAGGCTTGGTCCTTGCAGGAAGCGCGCAAAGAGACGACAGAGTCCCTGAACTAGGGCTTTGGGATTCGCCTTTCGGAAATTTCAGGCCTAGGGATCCAGTATGCACGTATGAAAGAACATTGTAACAGAAAATGCAATAGCAGTTATATGTTGGTTTAGGGTTTAGGGGTTTAGGGTTTAGGGATATACATTTACCATAAAGCTGTAATTGCCTGCATTCGGGTCTGTATTGCGAGCCCCTCAACCCTAAACCCTAAACCTTAAACCCTAAACCCCTAAACCTTAAACCCTAAACCCTATAACCCTAAACCCTAAACACTAAACCGGGAAAGATACCGTCTGGTGCTTGAAAGCTCCTGCGGTTCTCAATAAAAATAATCCCGAATGGTCCCTCGGTTTAGGGTTTAGGGTTTAGGGTTTAGGGTTGTATAGAATAGAATAGGTTCAGGGTTTAGGACTGTAGGGTTTTAGGGTTTTTGGGGCTAAAAATCTACCACAAAACCCATCTTCTAAGCATTAAGGCCCCTACTTCAGAGCACCCTAAACCCCTAAACCCTAAACCCTAAACCCGACTTCAGAGCCATGGACAGCTTTGCCGAACCCTGGATGTCCGGAAGTGAGCGAGACAACATCAGATCAGAGCAACTTGCAAAGGCTGGGCTGCTTAGGGCTTAATATAGGGTTTAGGGTTTAGGGTTTAGGGTTTAGGGTTTAGGGGCCTAAATAATTACCTATATTATTTTGGGTGTTCCTTATTAAAATTATACTATAAAAAGGGCCCCAGAGACTATTATTCTAATTATCAAGGCCCCTATATAAGGGTTTAGGTTCAATGGGCTTGAGGTATTCAATTCGCTTTTGCGATGTTGCGGTTCGAGCTTTGGTATGGGTCACCTGGTGGCGTCGGAAAAAAGGTAAACTAATGTTTAGGGTTTACGATTCTCTGCAAGGGCTTAAGATGGGCTACTACAATTACTAGAAGGTCTCCACCACAGAAGTCCCGAATTTCAGGAGGTTTAGGATGATGTAGAAGGTTTTGGTGGGGATTTAGACGGGGCTAAATTCAATTAGGAGGGTCTATGATAATTAGGTACTTGGACCCTTGGTGGAGGCTTAATGTAAGTTACCGCCAGAAGGTATGCATATCGTTAGCTTTATATCACCTTTTTGGAGATTCAGGCTCGAGGGTGCCATGATATGAGCCTTAGGGTTTAGGGTTCAGGGTTTAGCCTAGGAGCTTAAGCTCCGTATTGTGTTAACCTTTTGCTTTCAGTTCCGAATAGCCTCGTACAACCGAAGAAGCTGCAAAAAAAAACACCTGTAGCTCTCAGGATTAAGGGCTTAGGGTTAACCTTTCCAAGCCTTCACGTAGGTGAAACCCTCCCAAACCAATGTACCTCATCAAAAGGTGTCGGACCAGGAGGGATTGATTCACCAGGCAGTTTTGCATGCAATTTTCTGAGGATGTCGGGTTTAGGGTTTTAGGGTTTAGGGTTTAGGGTTACCTATAAGGTTACTGGTTATGTCTTTTGTTTTCTGGTTGTTGGACTGCGGATATAAGAGTCTACGAAAGTACTGTTGGCTTATTTTCTTCGGGGAATGAGGGAAGGTTTAGGGTACCTTGCAACTGCTGCAGCCACAAGGGCATGCAGACACAGGTAGGTTGCCGTCCGTCGTGCTGTGGCTACTGCTGCCTGAAGAGCTTGTTAAAATTGATTTTGGGATCTATAAGTCCTAACCTAAACCCCTAAACCCTAAACCCTAAATAGGGTGTAGGGCTTCTTAGGTGTAGGTTCTGCCAGGCGGTCTAGGGCCTTCGGGCGTCAAGAGAGCCGGCGTTTCTCCTGAAGCTTTGCATTATCCTGGGGCTTTGATTCTGATTCTGTTCATGTAGGGGCCTTAAGAATTAGCATAGAGTTTGGGGGTCCGTTTATAGAGTTATAACACGGAACCCTAGGGAATAATATTGGTAATTACTTCTTCAGTATCTCGGCTCTGAGGGTTTTGCGGAGGGTTCTGGTTTTTGTTGGTCGGGTGTGGAACTGGGCTTGGCCGCTTGAGTGTCGGATCTCCTCTTAGGATTGATGTTGCGGGTTACAAAGCAGCACTCATGGTTCCTCCGATTTCAGCGGCTGCCACCTCTGAAATATAAGCATGCCGACAAGAATAATTGAAACGGAGCATTTTTGGCTGTTGGAGGGTTCCTTCCAGAAGCCTTTCTTGTGGTGAAGTCGAGCATATGTTTGGCCTTTGCATGGTTCGGGCATTTCGCCGCTAGAAACCCGACATCAGACAAGGCTTTTCCAAAAGGAGTTTTCAATTCGTGAAATCGAGCATATTTGGTAGCGACAGCGACAACACCGCCGCAGTATCGCTCGCTGCTGGCATCCACAGCTCGACCGGGTTTAGGGTTTAGTGTTTGGGTTTAGGGCTTCGGGGTTGAGGCTTGGCATTTGGTGTTGTGGGTGCAGTTCTCGGGGTCCGAGGAACAAAGTCCACGTACACGGGACAACCATCGTCTTAACCTCATCTCCTTTTGCGTAGCCCTGTGCACGAAGATGGTTTGCTTCAACTAGCTGCCCTGTGGCCCCCTCCAGTCTTTGAACCTGGCCCGCACGTGTCTGCACGAACCTCACAAGATGGGCGACAGGTTTTCAACCAAACCTACCAGTTAGGTCCAAACTAATCAAACTATGGCATCGGGTTTAGTCTGTTTTGGTTTCAAGTTATTCGCGGATCCGGGTGCCGGGTCCTGACAATTTTTGCTGACACATGCAGTGGCACTAAGAAGGGGCCCTGGGCACAGTAACACAACCGCGCGATGCTCCAAGCTTCGTGAACCATCGGCTCAACACATGATTACGCGGCTTGGGGCTTGACATGCTAATGCTTAGACGCATGTTGATTCTTCAAGCTTGAAAAGCTATGCTTACCTTGCTTAGGTTAGAGTGGCATGGGACTTCGTACCTAGGTTGCAGAATCAAGGATCTTACAACAACAGAATTACTTGTATTCACACGCTGTTCACATTTGCTTTCTAATCCTTGTGATCCTTCAAGTAGCTCCTAATCCCTGAACCTAAGAGATGTAAACGATACTAGTCTGCGACCCTACAAAACCCTCTGAAGCCCCTGTAGAACTTAATAATTTCAAACATCCTGCTCGTCATCTGCTGTTCGAAGTTGGAAATCAGATTTAGAACCCTAAACCCTAAACCGTGCTTTTAGGGGTTTCGGAACCCTAAACCCTAACCCCTAACCCTGAACTCCAAACCGCTCTAAATCCTGGATTCAGGTTGTGGGAGCCAGGATTCAGGGCCGGGATTCGGTGAGAAGGGTTCAGGCTTTAGGGGTTTAGGGTTCATAGGTTTAGGGTGTAGGGGTTTAGGGTTTAGGGTTTATGGGTTTAGGGTGTATGGGGTTTAGGGGTTTAGGGGTTCAGGGCCTTGGGAGTCTATTTTGTTGTCTGAGAGGTGGTGCAATGTCAGGCATGTTTGGTGCCAATCGGCCATAGAATTTGAGTTTATACCGTGACGGCTAAGCTACACCTTGAACCATTCCAGGCCCGGAGCAGCAACCCGCATGAATAGAGGTCCTGCCACAGGTAGTATGTTGTCGTTTTGTTCTGTTGGTTTCCCATCATCCCTTGAAGGGTCCAAAGGACCTAATAATCAGGTACTTGGGTTACGGATGGTAGTTTTGTAGGTTAGTATCGAAAAGAGCGTTTGATTTTGAGCTCCTTGGACACTTAGGGTACCATCATATGAGGGTTTTCCGAAAATGGGGGACCCCTAATATAGTACCCTAAAATGGTAGGATCCTTATTATAAGGACCAAAAAATAAGGTACCCCCTAATTTCCGGAAACTCCCATAATATTGCAACATGCCCTGCAGCCTGGCTTCAACAAGTCCATCCTAAACCCTAAACCCTAAACCCTAAACCCTAAACCCTAAACCCTAAACCCTAAACCCTAAACCCTAAACCTCAACCTGACCCTTGGAATCCCCAAACCTTGTTTCCCAGAGACTCCAATGTCCCTTAATTAAGGGTTTAGGGTTTAGGGTTTAGGGTTTAGGGTTTAATATACCTTATAAGTTATAGTAGGATCCCTAATATGATTTATGGTATATTCCTTAATTAAGGGACATTGGAGTCTCTGGGTTTCGAGTGCTTGTCGGCAATCTCACTACCATGCAAGGAAAGTTGTGGCTTTTGCGGTGCATCGCGAGACTTAGGCTCACAACCTGCTCTGAGGGTTCAGAGCTTCTCTGCTCACAGTCTAACAGTTTAATGTACGTGCCTAAAAAGTTACCCACATCACTTTCTTCTTTTTTTTTTGTTTGGGGGGGTCCTT